AATATCTAAGAGCTACAGTTTTTGGAGCAGCTGTAACGATGAGTCGTATTCTCCATTTCAGAGATAAGTGACCGTCGGCATTTTTTAAATAACTTTTCACAGAAACAATAAATCAGCCAACATTTTGCATCATTGAAAAAAGGAAGTGAAGACGCATCGAACCATATGTATTTATCCATTTCAAAATATAAGAGCCGTGGCCATTTTTTGAAAAACTTTTGATAGGAACAAGATAGAGAGGTGCGGTTTTCGCCATTACAAAGAGAAGACTTAGGCGTATCAATGCATGCTAAAATATGATTGGTTAACAATGGACCAATCAGGTGCATTCTCGATGGACATTTTGAGCATCCTTCTCCGGAACCATTTCTCAACTTAACCCTATTTGTTAATTTAGTTATTGGTAGAAAAAATTGTTCTCTTTCGATGTACGCAAGGCCGACCTTCCTAGCTGGTTCCGTTCAAGAGTTATAAGCGTTTTCCTGAGCCCCCTGATTTCAGCCAATTGACCTTGGATCAACCAGAAAACCATCTGGAATGGGGTAATTCATCATGCTGAGTCGAATGGTGATATTTGTTTTTGGATTCGAAGCCATCTTACACTGTTTTTTAGAAATTTTCTACATTTCACAATATCTACCGCTATGTATCACATGAATCCACATTTCAGGAAATATTGAGATAACACCGTAAGATGATTTCGAATCCAAAAACAAATATCACCATTCGACTCAGCATGATGAATTACCACATTCCAGATTGTTTTCTGGTTGATCCAAGGTCAATTGGCTGAAATTAGGGGTCTCAGGAAAACTCTTATAACTCTTGAACGGAACAAGCTAGAAAGGCGGGATTTTCGTAGAACGAAAGAGAACAATTTCTTCTATCAAAAACCTAAATTAACAATCGAGAAAAGTTGAGAAACAGCTCCAGAATATCGTGCTCAACATGTCCATCGAGGATGTATCTGATTGGTCCATTGCTGACCAATTATATTTTAGCATGTGTGGATGCCCTGGGTCTTTTCTTTCTAATGGCGAAAATCGCACCTCTCTATCTTGTTCCTATCAAAAGTTTTTCAAAAAATGGCCACGGCTCTTATATTTTGAAATGGATAATAGAAATATTTTTCTAGTCCCTTTCCTAAAAGTTTTACATAAAACTTAAGGAAATACAGAATGCCTATTTCGGTCGCGATATTAATCTATTGATTCTTACGAGTACACTAGAACTCCCAAATGAAGAGCTACAAAAATATATCAAGATTCTATTCCTAAATACCACTAATAGGATATCCAAACCATGAGAGACATCATTTACCACCTTATGTATCAACAAAATAATTGAAGAATGTAGGTTTGTATAGTATGTTGATAGAAAAGTCTCTTTTTTAACGTAGAACAAAAAATAAATTCTTTGAAAGTGTTTGAGTTAAACATTTAGAAAAGTAGTTAGAAACATCCATCTATGTATAACCCGATGCATTTTTGTCCTCTATATCTGACGATGAAAACTGCACGACTCTATCTTGTTTCTGCGAAAAGTTCTTCAAAAAATGTCTACGGTCACTTCTCTTTGAATTGGAGATTATTTACTAAGGTAATGTTAATCTGACGCTATAAGATGTTCTTTAGTATGTTTTCGATTCGATTTTTCTGGTAAAAGATTAAAATAAAATAATTCTTTTTTATTCTAATCACTTAATATTAATGAATTAAGTGTTTCATAGAAAAACCTTAACACTTAATAATAAGTTTTAAGTGATCAACCTAAGCTTAATTTTAAATTAATGTAAATGGCCCACCCCTAATTGGCACTATAGAATATATTCTTTTCATTTCAACATTTATAAACAAACCTTGTCTTTCCTTTTATTTTTAACAAATGCTAATTCCAAAAAAGAAGGCATTGGATATTTTGTGGTTTTCATCATTATGACGACGCATTGAATCATATAATATACGCTTCACGAAAGTCTTTTTTAGTCATTTTTTTTAAATAGTGCTGAATAATCTTTTTTTTGATTGATTCGAAAAAACGCGAAAAAAGTGAAATTTTTCACAAAAATTTTGATTAGAATGGCAATCATTCGAAAAAACTGAACCCTACGAACCTCTGTCGATCTTCTATTAGCGCTTCGAATGCACAGCAAATCATTAAAAATACAAATATTATATGTTTTAACAGCAGCGAAAATATACATAATTGACAATGTGTAAAGATAGACTACCGAAAATGACAGAATCTATGTTGAATATTACTGACATTGTGCAATTACATTATAGTACTAATTCATAATGACAATATACCATACCATCGAATGTTTTTTCATTCTTCGTATAGTATACATATAGGCTGCTAGCGAACTAATGTATACTATACGAAGAACAAAAAAAATTCGATGATATGGTATATTGTCACTATGAATTGGTGATATAATGTAATTGCACAATGTCAGTAATATTCAACATAAGGTTAGTCTATACAGAATTTACTTTTGCAGGTTTTCTACAAAAGTAAATTCTGTCGTTTTCGGTAGTCTATCTTCATACATTGTCAATTATGTATATTTTCGCTGCTGTTAAAACATATGATATTTATATCAAAAAGTCGTTCAATATAAATTATAAATTAAAAATACACTTTAGCCACCTTATGAAATATGTGTCTTAAAGTCCTTTCAACAACTATCTTATAATATACGTTTTCATGCGCCGTTATTACCTCTTTAGAATGGTGGAAAGCGCATTTCTGAAAAGTTATTTGGAAAATACTCACCTGGCTCCTTTTTCGAAATGGACATTAGTAATCTACTTTTTTATTCCTATTCATATGAGATATGCTTGTGTTTTTTTTAATTGGTTTAGTCTAATGATTCATTGTCATAGAAAAAAGATACCCTGTTGTAGATATTTATTGTATCTATCAAGGACGATATTAATCAAAGACTTATATTGACTTATTATCTAATTATTTTCTGTCCTATGAGAAATCAAAAAAGTCTCGTTGATAGCATTTATCGAGAGATAAATTAAAAAACAAACTCATATTTTTCAAATACTGACAAATTCTAATGTCATTGAAAGTTCGCGAATATTCGAAATTGTTGCTGAGCTTTTCTCTTAATAAAATTGATGAAGTTTTAAAATCGTTTTGATAAAAATAATCTTCAAATTACTTAGCTAACAGTTAAAAGACTCAATGAGATTTACTGATATAATAGAAAAACGAAATTAAATCTGCAAAACGAAATAACGAATAAAAATTTGAAAAAAAAGAGCGAAATAATCAATCCAGTTTTTTTTTCTTAATACTCAGATTGATATATACATATTGTTGCAGTTCTTTTTTTTCTTTTGAGTATATTAAATGAAATAGTTGAACTGCAAGTAAGAAAGAAAGAGAGAGAGGAAAGAACGAAATAAATAAACACGAACATTTATCGGACATAAGACAAAAAAAACCAAACGAAAAATGAAAGCATTTATTTTTTGCTAAACGTTACTCACTGCAAGTTTATTACTTGAAGATGCTTGATCGTCAACATTTGCGTTCATGGCTGAATTAGGTCAAATAATTAATTCAGGTCATGAGCGGCGCAGCTTTGATTTTTTAGGGGAAGCAATAAACTTGGAAATAGAACTATATTTCTTTCTTCCCCCCCCCCCCCCCCGGCACAACTAATTCATATTCAGATGAATAGTTCGGTATTATACATTTTCTACTGCGTGATTTCTAAGAGACATACTATAATATTGGAGAGCTGACTACTAATTCGTCTGTCACTGACAACAGATTAAGAGCTTCAGAATAGCATAGCCCTTTTTTAAACAAGATCTACTCAAAATGAATTAGCAACAACTTAGTTTGTTGCCAACATCTACTGCTCATTGGTCCTTCAGTTTTCCATGTAATGCTAATGTAAAAGTTGTTTGACATTTTTATCTCTCTCGTCTCAAAAAAATTATAAACGTAAGAAGCAATTAAAAATGTAGTTATCTTATCATCCAGGTTATTTATTCATCTGTTGACGCTAACAATTAGTTTATCTTCTTTATGAGTAGATCCTTTTTCTTAGCAACTAAGGATCGAAGCACAGTAATAAAAACATGACTTAGCTGCTCCTCAAAAGTTCAGAAAATAGAGAAAAATAATATGCATGCAATGTTTCATCATGTACTACATAGAAGTTATCTCGACCCATTTTTCAAAACTATTTCTGAAAAATTCGTACTTTATATGGTACTATAATTAATAGCACTATTCAATTACAAAACTGAATGATGTATTATGAATTTATTTAACTCATAAATGTTTTCTATTTTTACTCTTTGAGCGCTGCTGTGCGTTTGTAAATGAGTATTATTGACAGTTACAGATTCATTCTTGTTCATAAGTCATCTACTATTATTTTATTCATTTTCAGAATATTCTTTTTCCTTCATCCTTTTTTTATATTTATCAATGCCAAAGATGATAATCATTCTTGGACAGTTGTATTTCGAGGATATGATTTGATTTTCCTAATTGTGTTAGTAGTTTTGTTCAACTGATGAATTTTAGACATAATTTACTTCAAAATAAGATCTCGAAAATAGTAAAAAAGTGTAATTGTGTTTTACTTGAATGAAGCATGCCAAATGTATACAACTGTGGATGCATTCATTAAGATAGTACTAAAAAATTAATAAGATAGTGGTCAATGGTTAAATCCTCTTATTTTTATCTGAAATTGTATAAAACTTATGTTGAGTTATGCATTTTTACCCTAGCTGATCAAAGTATGAGCAACTTGAGGAAGCAATAAATCTTTATTGCTTCTCCAAATTCTTTTTAGGAGAAGCAATTGCTTCCCCTTGTATTGCTGGTGCGCCGCCCATGGTTTAGGTACGCCACCACATATTGAATTAAAAAGATTCCATATGGATTCATTTAGTTGAAAATAATTACAATCTAAAGATATTTAAATTATTATTAATAAAAAAAAATAAGTAAATATGTTAGCCACGTCTAAGTAAACGAGTTTGACCATTTTTAGTTGTTGATATAGCTACATTTGATATTGAACCCGGAGGTTCTATTTTTAAACAGTTTATTTATATCTAAAAAAAAACAAAATAAATATTTACCAGATGATTTTTCACGAACAAAATTTTCCCAATTTCGAAACCAATTGTGGCTAAGAGCGTATATTGCATCTGTATCTTTTTCAGATCTTTTTAACTAGAAACAAATAAATTACAATTATACAATCGATTTAAAAAGTTAATCATCATTATATCCTATTCTTTCATCACATGATATTTTACATCGATTTCTCTGATCGAAACAAGATTTATTAACAATTTTTAGTCTTTTGTTGAATCAAGAAAAGCGAGCTTCACGTCTACGACCAATAAGTATATATCGATTGTTTTTAATTTTGTGCTCTCCCAAAATCTGTGATTACAATTTGTTTAGAACTCGTAGTTTAGGAGTTATGATTGAATGTTTTGGTCTAAAAGTAGAAAAGAATCCTGAGACCGTATATCTTTTGAAATTGGTTTGCTGCTATTTTTCAGCAACCTTTCTTGGCGTAAGTACATCCAATTTAGATTGTTAGAAAAGATCGAACTTGGTATGACAACAATCCTCAACATTCGATAAAATACCTCATTATCTTTATATTTTTATTTACTGCTGCCAGAAGTTTTCATTAGATCTAAATATTATTTTTTCAAAAAGAAAAAGAGTAGTTTCCGTGCACTGTTCCTGGTATTTATAAAATTTCAGCCCGATCGAATGCATTGTGTCTGAGAAACTCGGGCAACTCTGTCAATCTATGTAAGGCAAATCGAAGAATTTGAACATTTAAGATCTGAAAAGAGAAGTCTTAATTTTAATAAAACTCATATAAATATTTCGAATTTGAAATCACATTTTGTAACAAATGAAATTTTTCAAAATGAACTAACGGGTGCCACAGAATAAATGGTCGCACTTCGCATTCGATATATTCATCATTTATTAAAAAAAGAAACAAGATGCAACGCGAAAAGCTCTACAATTTACATAAGACCATTTTTCTTACAATTGTACTTTTTGTTTTCAAAACAGACAAAATTCAGAGTAATTAAATTTCAACGGTGCGAAAATTGATAGCAGAGAATCTCACCTTACAATAAGCTTTAATATGTAAAGTATACAGCCTTCCTTTCTGCATCTAGTGGAATATTTTCTTTTTAATATAAAAAGACGAAATAAGGAAAAACCATATAAAAATATCGTTTCTGTACGGCCGAAATTTGATCGACCATCAGAAAAAGTAGAACTATAAAAAAATCAAGCTTTTCGCGCTGCATCTTTTGGTTTTTTAATAGAGAATGCGAAGTACGGCCATTTATTCTGGTATTGAATTCTCATTTTGTCTGATTTATTTTGACAAAAAGAAGATACATAAAATATATCTTGGTATAGGAATTGCCCTTATCACTACTATCTGTACTACTGGATTCACTTCGATGTTTATTATCGGAATAAGATTGAACAATCCACATTTCGGAATGTATTTCATCCATAAAACATCGAAGAAATTCTTGGGCATCCTTGGGACTTAAAAAAAATAAAATAAATATGATATTAATACGAGTTTTATATTGCTTATTGAGTATAAGAACGAAATGATCGATTAATTGAACGAATTTCTGCTGCTATTGAAGTTGGATTAATAACATGACTAAAATTAAAAAAAAATCTTATTTAAATTAATTATTTTGAAAGAAAAATAACCATTGTCATCCATGAGCAGATTTTAACCACATTGATTGTATAAATTTAAAATAAGCTGTAACTAATCTTCCATTTGATTTAATATTTGATATATCACCATTTATACGACGATTTGTATTTGTTTCAATAAATGGAATACAATCAAGAAAATAACTTGTTAATGGAACACTTTTTTTACATGAAAAAAAAAGAAATATATAAACAAAAAGAGAAGTTTTGCTTTTTACCAATTCGAAAGTACTTGTAAAGCTGAATTCATATAACATATATTACCTAAATTATGTAAACCTGATATACCTATAAAAATAGAAACCACATTATTTAATTTATTTTTTTAAATTAAACAATAAACCTCGAGTAAAATCTGTTGGATCAGAATGTTCAAATTCAAAAAGTGTTGATTCAAAACATGTATCAGATTGATTTCGACGAATAATTGATTGATTTAAAGAATTTTCTTGAATTACATTAACAACATTTACTTGAACGGAATTATTTATTGATTGATTTATATTATTTATTAATTTAGGAGATTTTGATTGAAATATTGAACGATCCAAAAATGTTAATCTAATTTAGAAAAAAAATCTTATGAGGGTTTTTTAAATAAAATTTTTACTCAAATGGTGGATTCTTATTTAAACGAATTTCTTGATTACAAACATAACACCAAATACATTTTGTTGTTGAATGAAGTTGAAGTAGATGTGCTTTTTCTATTTCATGATCAGTACCATGATCATTTTTTTTCTTTTCCTAAACCGCAACCAACAAATCAACAACTTTCTGTTAAACATAACCATAAATGAGGTTCAATACAATCACATTTCTCAGACTACAATGTATCTGTTCATTCTTTAAATATTTTATTTTAAAAAAAGCAACAACAATACAAACTTGTATAGCATTGAGATTATCTTCTCTTGATATCAATCCAATTGTAGCTACATGTGGACAATGGCTAATATTTGTTGCTATTTTTTTTCTTCAAAAAAAAGAACAAAATCAACATTCCGATATGTTCCTCTCTCTTGATTTCTTGAAGGGTTGAGATAAGCTACACACACTTTGACGTACACACACAAAATCGCCATTGGATAGAGTTGACACAGCCTTTTTCGTGGATAATAAATAGAGAGGGGGCGCTCGATAACAGTCAATTATAGAAGCATTTATGTATTCAGCTTTGAATCATTATACTTATTGTAAAACTTTTATCAAAAATATTCACAATGTAAGATGATATGATTTAATTAACATTAATAACTTCAATATATGGTTAATAAAATGAGATAAAGTGTATTAATGTTCATAATTCTTTTATACAATATTTAGCTCGACAAAAATAGACTACTCGTCTCTGTATATGAAAGAAAATGCGAAAACGATATTCTTTTTGTTTTCTAAATCAATTTTGAGTACACGTCAAATTATGATTTAATATCTTTCTCTTAGCACAGCAAAAATTGTTTGAATTAATTTGTTTTCAGCAATATAGAATATTTATGTGGTGTTAGGAAATAAAGATAAATAAGATATTTTTTTTAAGACTTGAACCAATTATTTATGTTTTCATCTATCGTTATTAATTCATAACTCAGTTTGCCTGATTTAATTCTCTGTTTTCAAGGAATTTTAATAAATTAACGTCTGTTTATTTTCGGTCATTTTGATCTATATAATATTAAACTGAGCCATCAATTTGATATGAAAAACTAAATTTAGATTTAATTTACAAATGCGTTTTGGTGATTCTTTATTTTTGTATCTTGAAGGGAATGATGTTTACATTTTAACACGTAGAACGAATATACCAACATTCCAAATTCTATGATTTACCCTCTTAGCTTAGTATTTTCATCCCGATTTTAGAACATCTTTTCCTAAATTTTCTTCATTTTCAAATAACTCGCGAATGCGAAAAGATATTGAGACACGGTTTTCGTTCTTGTGTAAACCATGTTTCAGAGCCTTGATATATTTAAGAATTATAGTTTTTAAGAGATTACTCAATGAGCGTTTCTCAAGTGTTTTTGGAAGGTGACTATTTTGAAAAAGTGATAGAATACTGCAAGCTGATGATCAAAGGTACAACGATCTTTAAGAGGATGTGGGTGTGGGTTGGGTGTGGGTGGATGTGGGTGTAGGTATGAATGAAGGAGAGAGTAACTCCTACAACCACACCCACATCTACACCCACACCCACACCCACACCACACCCACACCCCACACCCCACACCCACACCACCCACACCCACCCACACCCCTCACTCTCACACCCACACCCCACCCTCACATCCACCCACACCCACACCCTCAGCGATGAGTTAATCGATTCTGTGTGAGAGAATAACGTAACGGGTGATGTAAAAGTTCCTGCACAAATGTTGGTCTACTTTTCGTCGACTAAAACATGTCTGGATAAACTCGAAAGCATTTGTGCAGAATCATCGTCGAAAGCTCTTTCTAAATGTATGGCCAGAAAATTTTTATCATGTCTTGTTTTTTAGCAGAGAGCACATCTTTAAATAGAACTCAAACATGGTCTATAAAAACAGCTCAAAGTAGTGGGCACGGAAAAAATGAGTCTTTCAATATTTTTTTATATTGTCCAAAGCCATCGTTAGTATGGTGCTGCTATTTCGTCGGTTAAATGCGTCGTTCAATTCGCTACAAACTTAATAGAAAACCATACAGTAATACGTTAGATAGTGTGATCGACAATTTAACAGATAACGGTGTAAGAAACCACGTCAAATCTGAATATGAAAACGATGATGAGCCAATATAATTTTTCGAAACTCGAATAGCGCCATTTTCGATAAAACTAGTTGAAATGATGGCTATAATTGGCTCGAGATACTCGCTCTATGAGTATGTCTGAGCCAATGATTAGAAATGACAAAGTTGAACAGCAAAAAGTAGTAGCAACATCAGTCTGATAATGGCTAGAGATTCGACGGTGAGTTGTCTCAATATTATTTCAAAAAGAATTCCATAGTATTTCCCACATGATTTGTTGAGAATAGAGACGGTAGTCTAATAAAAAAAAGGTAAACAACATCTCTCAAAATGAACCGAAACAAGTAGCAAAATACCGTGGGCTTGGTACTTTTTTTGGTATTCGTTTTCTTTTACAAGCCTCATTTTAGCACTATTTAAAGATGTGCTCCCTACGGAAAGATAAAAAGTACAAGAACTTTTTTGAGCATACAGTTAGAAAGAGCTTTCGACGTAGATTCTATAAAAGTACTTTCGAATTTATTCACACATGCTTTAGCCAATTAAAAATGAACCGACATTTGTGCAGGAACTTAGGTTTCACCCGTTACATTTCTATCTTCGATTGTAAAATGGCGACAAAACACACATTAACTTTATCTGAAAAAGTGCAGTTAATTCGTGAAAATGAAGAGAACGCTTCATATCGTACACTTGCTGAGAGGTACAAAATCTCGATTGGTAGCGTATCAAATATTATCCAACGCAAGGCAGAATACATAGAAAGTTACGAACAAAATGAGAAATCAACCAAGAAACGCAACTTTCGAGATGAATTTAATCAACAGCTCGATCAAAAAGTTTACGAAAGGTTCGTCATTCAACGTAGTAAGAACATTCCTATTTCAGGTCCACTCATATAGGAACAAGCTCGGCCAATTCGTCAACAACTAGATGGAACAGATGCTGATGAGTTCAAGGCTAGTAATGGCTGGCTCGAAAAATTTAAAATACGTCACGGCATACAATATCGAATCATATGTGGAGAATCTGCAGCAGTGCACATTGCAACCGTTGAC